GTAGAAATAGATAAAAGCAAAAGGTCTATATATACGATGTCTGAGATAGACACGTGATTTAGCACGTGACGGGCACTTCGTGAGGTGCGATTGCTATCCCTGTTACGTGACAGATCGGGTAGACGGGTTTCGGCACTCAAGTGCCACAGTCCTCGATGTATTACTGGACTCGTTCGGTTTTCCGAATCCATAAATTCCTGGACTCATTAACGAATTATGAATGAGGGTTTCGGCTACCAAAATCAGGCGCAACACACTTCACACGACGTCATGAATGCACTGAAGAGAGCGAGGGTGGCTTCGAAGTGCCTCGAGCTCAGGTTTCTCGGAGCAGTTATATTCTGAGCGGAAGCTCTTCACGAAGCTTCACACAACTTGCAATTCATGAGGGGTTTAGGGGAGGGGCGCGTGTTGACCCCCTTGGCAAGTTGTCTTGGGGTTCCTCTGACGGCATACCGATGGTGCGCTTGAAACGGTGTAGCCACTCAAGATTGTCTGCCGAGGTCTGATTCCAAGGGTCGCCGCTAAATCAGTCAGGCTTCAATAATCCCTTACAAGAGAAGACGAGGAGACAGAACTTACTCTTCATAAACAATGAATCGCGCTTGGTGCTGAATCTCATGGTCCGACGGAACGTGACTGTTCGGGTTGTTGGGAGACATGGTTGCTGCGATCCAGCGTCGTAGCTCAAGAGCAAGCCACCGATTGAAATTGGAGTCATTGAAAAACGCATAGTTTCGTTTGACTGTTGAAAACTGCGGGTGTGCGCTGCGGCCATCTGGTCCAGTGCTTCCGGGTCTCTGCCAGTCGGGAGTATTCGAGACTAGAGGCGACACGGGTGAAGCTTGGGCGACATCGCTTGCTGGAGAAGCGTCCTGGGTAGTAGGTTCTTGTAGCAATGGTGGGAGAACGTCACTTCCTGTATCCTGCAGCCAAGCGCGTTGATTCGGCATGGCTAGATTCCTCCAGAGTCCTCTGTCAAAAGGAACACCTTGGAGTTGAAATGGAATCGGGGGCTCGAAAGGCTCATTTGCAGCAGCTCTTCCGTTCATGAGATCTCCGAGTCCTACTTGTTGGTCTTTCTCAGAAAGTCGTAGTGGAGGTAGAGCACTTGAGCTTTCGTGTTGAAGAAGACGTGTTCTCAAGCGAAACGCGGTAAGCCAGCCAGTTGATGAGCTGATGAGGTTGACTAGCCAGTTGACAACCAAGTCGGCCGGAGACATTCCCCAACTCTTGCCTAAACGTGTGACTATCTTACAAGCCTCGTTCTGTAGTTCTTGGTTGTTGAGAACATTGGGTCCAAGTAGCCTGTGCTTATCAACAAAGGCATCAAGCTGCAATTCACAGGGGCATTCATCAAACAGACTGCGCTTTCCTTTGATCTGAAGAACAGACATCATGCTTTCGGCTGGCGATCTTATCGGCCCAAATCGAGCCTCTCGAGTGAGGTCTTCTGACGAGGTAATCAAGTCTCGCAGCCACGACTCGGGTTTCGCACCCTTTTCAACTTCCGGAGATGAGACTTCCGATGCAAAGACGATTCGACAAGCCTCGAATTGGATTTCTCTGTTGTTGGGCAAGTTTCCTGTTCTGTCGAAAAATAGTCGTAGAAAATGATTGAGTTCCAGCGTGAGCAACTCATAGGCGCTACGGGGCGACTCGGGAGGCACGCCGCTTGCTTGATAGGGGAACGGCGAGAATCTTTCATATTCGATGAGATCTGGAAGGCGCATTAGTCCGGGCATCCGCGAAACAGTTTTGGGTTCTCTTACAAGGTGGAACAGAGTTCTCAACCATGTCCAGAACTGCATCGTTGAAGCCCCAATCTCCTTTCCAACTCGCCATGTCGGAACCCATCTTGAAATGATCCGCGAGATGGTCAGCTCTGACACCCCAAGTATCGAGAGATGCACCGCAGAAGCCGCAACGAGACTCGATTTCTGGAATGGTAATTTTCCAGAGTTTAGCCGACCAGTCGAGAAGGCCAGCATTGTGTACCAAACGCAAGTGCTGTTTCAAGTGATCCTTTCTGTTGAACGTTCGTTCCTGACAAGATGAGGGATTGTGGCTGTCGATGTGCGATTGAGTAGGCTCGGCTTCTCCACAGAAGACACAACATGTTTGGCCTGTGTCAGGATTGACGGCCCGAGGCCCTTTAGGCGAGCAAACCCATCTTTCGAGGGGCATATGGAGAGACTTTTCGTGTCGCTGCCAGTCGTGTTTCGTTCTAAATGTCTCTGTACAGAATGTGCACTGGTACTGGTTCCGAGGATGTGCAAGAGAAGTTCGCTTTGGACGTCTACGTTGCCGTGCTCGACTACGAACAGCGGGACGCGGAAGGGAAGCAGAGTCTTTGGAAGCATGGGAGAAGGCAGAAGCAAATGAGCCGCCACTCGAGGTTCCAGCGCTACTAGCTGACGAGGTGTGATAAAGGGACCGTGCTGGCTCATCGGTGAAGCTAGCATTGAAGCTGTCGTCTGCGACTACAAGGGATCAGCTTTGAGATACCCCCCCGACATTTGACACTCACACAATGGAGGGCCGTTCATAAAGTACAAAACTTACCTGATGATCCTGCATGAGTAGATGCTACGGCACGTGCAATGTCGCCAACAGTAGCAGGCTCGTGTTCTGGAGGAGAGTCGACCCATCTCTCGAGCGGGTTCAACCCCTGATAGTGTGGGCTGCTTCTAGGAGCTGGTGTTCCTGGCCTCGCGGGGACATCTATAGGTCTTGTCCCAGTACCAGAGTTTCCCGAGTATGGTGACGTAGATCGATGACGGCCTTGTACTTTTCCGCGACGACGAGCGTTGATCAACCAGTTAGTGATTTGGATCTTACTGAGGCCCGTTTGGTGCTGGAGGATTTTCTTTTGTTCGTCGTTTGGATAAGGATGGTGGCTGTGGGAGGAGAGCCATTGTCTCAAGATTCGAGTTGAGTCGCGAGAGAATCTCGTGCCAATCTTGGGTGGAGGAGGAGTCGATGTAGTGGAAACGTTGAGTGGCTCGAACGAGCCGCTTGATCTCTTTGAAGTCTCTGGTGTCGGGAGGTTCTGAACATCGGTTGTAACAGTCCGGCTGTCGGTCATGAGGTTGTTGAAAACATCTCCAGTGAAGTTCGGCGTGGTTTCTAAGAAAGTACAGTTGCATCCGAGAGAAACGCAAGATATACAGCGGTCTTGAGGTTCGGGTTGTTGTGGGAGCTGGCATTGGTAGCCCCATGCGGTGCAGTTGGCACAAGATGTCGAGGGTGTCGTCCATCCACTTTCGAAATTATCGCTGATGTAGTCAAGGGATCCGTCAAAAACGAACGGGGAGCATTCACCGCTAAATTGTTCAACGGGCGTGAAACATAGAGCTTCGTCGACGGCGAGGTTCTCGATAGCGAGATTGGCCCTGGGCTCCTGTGGCAGGGAAATTTCGGCGAGGTTCACGAATCGGTTTACAGTCGAAGAAGTAGCTTCATCCGAGTTATCCATCCTGTCGAGTCTCAATTCCACCACCGTAGCCACAGCAATAATCTCCCGGCCTTAATCTGGGGAAGCAGTAAGGCTTGTCAAGGATGTCAAAGCCCCTGCCAAAGATCGGGCTGATAGGGCGTGATCGAATCGATAAGGCGTATCAAGATATGAAGAAACAATGTCAAACGTGAATTGTGTATTGGTGTTCCCTCAGGGGAGTCATTCGACTTGGACTTTGTTTTGCTCAAGAGTGGAAGAGTCGTCGGAAGTCTATCCGCACTTTCATGCGTTGGAATGACACGGGATCCACCAAAGCACTCTCGATGATTGGCCCGACGTCGGATGTGTCAAGTGCGCCTTACACTAGAAACGCGATGGCCGGACCCATCGACTAATGGCAAGCTTGTTCAACGTGAAGTCTAGGTCCGAACCCGGACCACAGGCCTTCGCGTGCGGTTGAACTCAATTGCGGTGAATGTGGTTACTGAAAATAAGTCGTGTCACTTCAACTCTTAGGTACGTTGAAAACTGCCACATGGGGTTTATAGCTCCAGCTTCTCTGTCATCTCGTGAAATGATGTTAGAGTTCGAGAGTCACTGATGATTTTCAAAACACAAATGAATGAAAGGAGGCAAATCGAGAAGCGAGGAAAAGTCTCCGTAGTGGGTCACTTAGACCGGCATGCTTCTAGACCCTTACTCGAAGCCTTTGTCTTCGCCTCTCGCAGGATGTTGGGCGCGCCTGACGCACAATGAAATTTTTTGCGTGCGCTTACGGGTAGAAACATTACATTTATTATCGGCTTCATAAGTTTTTGATGAAAAGCTCTGATTCTCACCACTTGACAATAGACTTGTCGAAACACACAAGTACTCAATTACTTCATGCCGATAAGTTTACCTCAGTCGAGTTACTTCTTTCCCAACTACCTTAGCTTTCTCAGCCTTCAAGCATGGGGGAACGCGAGTCGTCAGGCCCAACATTGGCGATTGCACCGATACAAATCGACCCAGAAACCGATATTAATGATTTATCCAACGTCAACAATGATGCCGCGAGTGAGGAGACAGAATTTCTGCGATGGTCCTGTGTTGGTGCAGCTGGCCTATTCTTGATGTGCTCATATGGTACGTTCAGCACCATAGGATGGCCGTACCCGTTTTCACCCATGGATTGGACCGGACTGATTGGTATTTAGGCTTCTCTCAATCGATCGGGACTGTCCAATCTTTCCTTCAACTAAATCAGTTGAGCGACTATTCTGCACAAGATATTGGATGGATCACGGGCTTAGACACAGCTCTTTCGCTATTATGTGGCTTTCAGGTCGGCCCTTTGATGGATCGCTATGGTCCTAGGCTTCTGGCGCCAGTTGCAGTTGGGCTCACCGTCGCAAAATTCTTCCTTCTCTCCGAATGTAAAATTTACTGGCAGATTTTTCTCTGCCTAGGTGTTCTGGGAGGCATTGCCTCCGCGGTAGCCTCAACTGTCGCAATATCAGCAGTAGGCAAGCTGTTCATCCGCCGTCGAGGCCTGGCAATGGGTGCAGCGATGGCTGGAGCTTCTTTGGGTGGCATCACCTTTCCACTAGTCCTCCGCAGGGCTTTCCCGGCTTTGGGCTGGTCATGGTCTAACCGGGTGATGGGCTTCGTGATTCTAGGTCTCATGACTATTGGCATGGTTTTGCTTTTGCCTTTTCCAAAACTGATCCTACCCTCAGCGGTGTCGTCGAAGAAGAAATCAGCAGCACTCAACTTTGACGCTTTTCGGTCGGGGCCTTTCGTCTTCATCACGCTCGGGTTCTTCTTGTATGAGTTTTCCATCACTGGAGTGGGCGTGCTGTTGCCAACTTTTGCGGTCAAGGCTGGCTTTCCATCTGCGATGGGTTATACCTTGGTCTCAATCCTCAACGGATGTTCATGCCTAGGCCGCCTACTGCCTGGACTTGCGGGTGACTATGTAGGCCACTTCGACGTCATGCTTTTCATGACTTGTCTCTCATTGATCTTTACTGGAGCCTTATTTGTCCCGTTCGGGGGCCAATCGGCCGGAATCCTCTACGCATTTGCTGGTTTGTGGGGATTTTGCACTGGCTCTTTCCTGTCAATCCTTCCCGGTAAGCGAATTCTTAGCATCTTCAGTTTCGAGATTTCGTTTTGGAACTAACAAGGGTTTGCGACTAGTGTGTGTGGGCAAGACTTGCGATCCTAAAGATTACGGAAGATACTATGGTGAGTTGATGCACCAAATCATACCCGCCCCGATTCGCTCATGATTGTCTGACTGACGTGATTTCAGGTACCATGACATTCTTTGTTAGTTTCAGTGCCCTCACGGCAATTCCAGCAGGAGGTTCCCTTTTGGAAAAGGTGGGCTCAGTAGGGGCGTCGGGTCTGTATCTTTCAACGGTTGCTCTGGGGGGCTTGAGCTTCTACACAGCCCGTTCCTTGTTGATTGGGAAATTTCTTGTTTTCAGATCAAATATCTAGATTTTTATTTCTCATTCCAGCATACCAATTTTCATTACAACTCTTCTCTCTTGCTGACCAATTTTATTGTCTCGGCCCTGGGGAGATCGGACACAGCAGTAATCTCGAGACTGTGCCGATCTTCTCTCGAGACAAATTCTATGGCTCCTAAGTCTGGCCCGAAGTCTCTGATGGGACCTAACATGTAAACTTCCTCCACCGCAACCGCTGAACTTTCTGAGCTATTCTTGGCAACTGAGGTTGCTTCATTTCGTGTTCCAAGGGTCGCATTTGTAACATGAGTAAACCCTAGCTGTGTAAGACTGTATGGATCTTTCGGTTTCTTCTTGTCGTTGTGGTTGCTGGAAATCCCATCACTCAACTCTATACCATCCGAGCCCTGACTTGATTTCGGTGTGAACTTGTACTTGTGGTAGAATTGAGCCCATACTCTCCGTTTGAAAAGAGGCACCACCATGGGGGCCTGCCCAACGAAAATGGCAATGAAGTCCTCACGAATTGACCACATTGCCCCTGGGCCAAAGCCACCTGTAGGCTTGATGCATAATTAGCAACATCTCGGAATCCAAGAGGGAATGGTATGTCTTACGTGAAAAATGAGAACCACACGGATTGTCGCAGCAACCATGATGAAAACTCCCAAGCTGAAAAGAAAATATACTCCAATCCTGCGCCAAATCGAGGCTCTAACGAGACTTATCACCTAACTGATGATTAACTGACCGTTTGCAGGTTTGACCGAGGGATACTTACGGGTATAGGAATGGCAATTATGCAAAGATCTGTGGTGACGTTCATCACGAAGATGCTGTAGAAGTAAATTTTGTTTTGTGGCACACAATTCTCTTTTCAGATCTTGTAAGCTAATGCTTCCTACTCGGATCCCACTCAAGCTTACGTACCTCCTGGATCTGGGCGAATTTGCCACATGAGAGAGAGAGGGAGGCATGTCAGGGCAATGATCAGACCCATCGCAACCGCCGTGGCACCAACTAGACCCATGACAGGGAATATAAACTTGTCTACCCACTGTCCCGCAACCAGCCTTCGATAGAAAAACAACACTATCATGTATTAGATATGTTGTGGCATGAATGCAGGTTTGAGCATGAAAGAGGCCTCGAAAACAGCATGCCACGTACTGTTGAACTTCAATGACCACACTACTGTCGCATAGATAATCATGCCTGCGACGAAATTCTTCGAGCCGTATTCCCACTGATAGCTGCTTTTAGTCAGACTTTGTTGAGAACAAAAGGTTTCCTTCGCACATACAATTCTGATTCTGGCAATGTCGCGCGCTGTTCCGGGGTCAGGAGCGAGGTGTGTTTGCCTTGGGCAATCAGCGCGAAGAGCGTTGCCATCACGCATACAGAAGTGTAGAGAGACTGCCATGATGTAAGTCGAAATCGGATCCATCCCAGTGACAGCAAGATAGGGTATACCCATGTGAAGAAGATGATGTAATCGTCAGGTCGAAATCCAGACACGCCCACTTGCTTCGTGCGGCAAAATACCCTCGCCGCAATCATCAAAGTCGCAACAGCATACAAAGTCCATATTTCCAAGAGAGTCGGGTTGATCTCCATGATGTGTCCGATGTGCGAGCCAGCTGCTCTGCCGGCTGTCTATTTCGTTATCATCGAAGCTAGTCCGGGGCTCCGATGTTGTTGGCTAAGGTGAACACAAGGAATACTTGTATGAGTAAGGTCGGTAGCAGCTTGGACTTTTATTTGAACCTGGGGAACAATTCAGTCCAAGAAAAGGGAAGATTGAAACTTCTTGTATTGAACGCTATCCTAGCAAGGGCCTGTCACCTTGATCCAGGCTGGCTAGGTCCGAGCATGTGGAAGTAAACTTCACCAACTTCAGTGGTCTCTGGGGTCTTCCCCGATGTAGATACTCACAACCCCCCCCCCCCCCCCCAAACAATGAAAACCACCCGAGTCACATATATGCCAGTCAGAAATGTGCTTAGACAGTTACCCCGACAGAATTTTTTCTGGAGCGGAAACAGGCTTAAGTAATACGGTGCAGTATTGTTTGCGGCTCCCTACATATAGGTACTTGGAGTAATAGCTCCACAATCCATAGTTAGGGCAACAGAATTGTCTGCCAATATCAATTGGATGGTTCTCTCAGTCGGCGGTGGCGATGAGCAGCTCCTGCATTAGGTATTTCAGCGACAAAAACTGCGAACAAATTGTTGGCATTCCCAGGGCGTAGGACAATCTGTTGACTGCTTTGGGGTAGTTCCAAAAGTTAACATCATGCGATTCCACCTTGGCACAGGCTGCAGGATAGAACTCTCGATTCCAAGGTTGTGCCATGCTAGTTAACAAACAGCACGTGGTAGATCGGTGCTCGAATACACTGTAGACTTCTTCCATCTGGCCATACTTCGATGTTGATCAAGATAATAGAGCGTTATCCCTGTTTATCTTCTCGGTTTCGCGAGTCTATAAAGCCCTGCATGTGCCATGTCCTGATTGCCGGTATGCCGGTATGCCGTATGCCAAAACTTCCCCAGATTGCCCCAACTTCTCCAGTCAACCTCCATGTGCCGAGTGGGAGCAACGGGGGAATGATGATACTGAATCATTGGGTTGCAGCGCCTGTGACATGGCTCGCGACGAGTTAAGTTCATCTAAAATCATCCCTCTCATAAACATGTATGATACAGGTTCGAGGTAGTCAAATTCAAGAGTTCAATAAAGCTTTATGGTATGCGAATCTAGCAGGGATGAAATTGAACATACGGCAACCTTGGTTATCAAGACTTCCCATATGGTAACCGGTGGACTGGGTCGCAGCCTGGTATCTCTTCACCTGGACTCTGAATTAGAATATCAGCAGAAAATGTTATAATTAGATTCCCAAACCAACCTCAAGCTATTCCACCACAGCGACACTTTTCGAATCTGTGCTGTGACATGTATTATTCCGTTGTAAGTGAACTTTCCGATTCGTCTTAGCATGCTCCTCCTAGTCTTCTTCCTCCGTCTTGTTTGGACCTTTTAGAACATTACATGTGATGAATCTTCGCACCACAATCAGCACTGGCCGTTAGCTCGTAATCATCGGAAAGCGAAAATCAACACGACCATAACAAACACATGCCCTCGTGTTTTGATCCACCTTCGATTTCCATGTTCTATAGCTTAAGCCATGTATCTGGTGCCTTCATTATGAAAGCTTTAGATTTGGAGATGGGACAACTTGGGGAAAATAAAGTTATATAGAGCAATGACAATATCGCAAGTATCGATTACTAAAACCCAATTTCCCACGATTTCTAGAACTAGTCCTCGTTAGTCAATCTCTGTTTTTGATCGTCTTGTTCATTGATACCATTGTCCAATTTTTGTCGAGGATGTGCTGTGAGGCATCCGGCTGCTAAGAATAATAATGTTAGTACTAACAACTAAAATATAATGAAGGTACTTGGCGGAAAGTACCAGATGTTGCAGTGTGATATTCATGCCTACATTAATGCAATTCCTTTTTCAACTTACCAGAGATACAGAGGCGTGGGCGTGCGAAGGTGTTTTCCCAGAAGATTCGAGAAGCACCGTATTAACCCGCATGAAAACGTCAAGAATATGACTGCGGGTATGGCACGTTTTCAAGGCTATTCTTTCGATTCGAGAGCGAGCACAAACTGTGAACTGATGCGAGGGTACTGATGGAACCTTCTGCAATCAAATGACATCATTTTCCCCCCGTGCGGCGAGCGCACTTCGCGCCCTAAATGAGTGCTAGATAATCTCTGCATTCAATCGACCAAAGACCTGGGCTTCCATCTGATATTGAGAAACCGCCGGATGTGCTTTTTCTGAAGGGGCAGCGGCAATTGATATTATGCGGATTCGAGGTACGATCACCTTGTTATTGCTTGTACGCACTATTAATAAGACAAATAACAAAAGCCCTAGCCTCGGGTCGTCCCTTGGTAATCGCGCTGACCATTTTAGTTCGAAAGGTCTTCATATTCACGTGAAAGATCACGAACTAGCTGCCTTTGCGCTTGCCATCTACGTAGCTAATGTTGGGTCACATATCATCAGACAGTTTGAGTTTCTTAAGACGAGAGTCTGTGCGACATCTCATCTTGTAATTTGGTTGGCAGCTCTGCGCTCTGTCATACCACACGTCTGGATAAAGTTGCCAAGCGAAACATCCAACTCAAGGTCCCTGCCATTTCAAGGTAAGCTTAGCGTGCCGGCTGACATCAACACAGCGATGAAGCTTTCTGATTGCTCAATGTCGTTTAAGCGTTAAGTACACTAGAGATCGCCTCTTGGACGGGCTTCCGGATGCAGCGGTGAAAATGTGACTGGACTCGGAAAATAGGTAGTAGGCTCTTGGATGAGGTTCGGCCCCAGGCTCGAAAGCGAAGGCGCGCGAAGGCTTATCTCTTCCGCTTGGGGTAGCGCGGTCGTGTGAAAATATCCGTCGCCGGTTCTTGTTGTTGTGGGCTGGTTCAGGAAGTTTAGGCCGTGGCTAGTTGGGTGCTGATCATTGTTTTATGGTTTACCGTATATATATACATATGATATCCTTTTCACCGACCAAATAAGTACCCTAGCATTGGCAAGATTCGACTCAACTCACTAAGTATCAACTTCACTTATTTCACGCTCATACGAAATATTAAATCAGACATCATGGCTTCGAGAGAGGATGGAATCAATGGCATGAATGTCGGATCTAACTACGGCCAAGACTACCTGCGAGCGGTTGGGGGTATCACAGCATCTTCTTTTCAGACAGAGGAGGATCGCATGAAGGCACTTCTAGCAACGTATGAAGTTCTGTCTAAGCTGGAGACCCCCTGGGACACATATGTCAGAATTCATTTAAATCAGGTGAGGCCCAAGAAACACGCAGACGAGATTTCGATATATCATGAAGTGCTGACTCAGTTTTAGCCTGCTGTTACCGCGGGGATAAAAATCATCAAAGACTTGAAGTTGATGATGAAGTGGAAAGAACAAGGA